TTAAATGTGTGCAACTAAAATGAGGTGAGATAGTATTTTCTATCAATAAACTTCTGGTAAGCTGTTTAAAATTCACAAAACTCTGATTTTGAAGACTGATTAGATCTGATCACAAAAACGATATTGGATATGTGCCATCGGTAATCCTAAGAAACCACCTTCATATTTATCAAAACTTTTTGATCTGCTCATTTGTAGTATACAGATGAATACAATACTTAAAACAAAACAATCAGGTTATTCATTACTCTGGAATAAAAGACAATTTAGCGGAGAAAATTTTCTTTCCAGTGAGTCATTTTCAAAAAGGCTGTCAGTCAATTCGCAAGGTGATCACTCCTAGAAGGTCAAATCAAGGTCATCAAAGTAGGCTTGTAGGAATAAGGTAAATAATCCACGAAATGACCGAAGAATTCGGCAAAGGCAGAAGTAAAGATTGACTGTATCTTTCTTGAACACAAAGAGATCGCCAGAGCTTCTGCTGTGTTTAGGTGGCGAATGTTCATTTACTTCGAAATATTTGACTTCACTCTATAAGTGACTTAAAAAAGAAGACTCTTGTGGAGCACAGTGACCAGATATGACCGAATGCTCAAGAGTGGAACTGTTGACGGCTTTATAATGTCCTTCGGTAAACCATGCAGGAGAACGTTCGGAGATACTTTTGGATAGAACTCGCTTTGTGCGCCCTATGGCTCATATATGATAACTAGACAAGTATTCTTTAGCTTTACATTTTTACCACCATATGGTAAAATCGAATCCAAATGACATCAAACTGATATCTGATCGAGGTTTATTTTTAGTTTAGGGAACATAAAAGAAAAAACACAATCTTACCACCATTTTTATGATTCAGTTTTATACAATACTCAGTTATACTTTTCTTCAGAGTACACTTTATATTTTTCAAATTCTCTAAAAATTGATGATGGAATGCATTTGTAAATGTCAGCATGTATGCATAAGGTAATAAAAAATTGCGCTTAGAATTTTAGATTTGTCAGAAAAGGGACAATTTTAGGAAGTGAATTTTTCTTTCATAAATAATCCACAGAATGTAACAGTAGAAGTGATTAAATCATAATAAACAACGAAAAATAATCTTTTTCCTTGAAAGTATTTATAAGATTCATAGGTTTAAGTTATCTGTCATACTTTTGCCATCATCTTCAATTTTGTTTACATGAAACTATCAGAATATTAGTAACAATAACAACAACAACAATAATAATAGTAACCACAGTGACACATATTGATGACAGAAGATGAACAGCAACCATAAACAGTGAAATAAAAGAAATCCTGGAGAAAAAAAGATTAAAACTACCCCTTAATAAAGATGTAAGTGGTAAATGTTAGAGTTTAAAGAAAGTTAAAATGAACCAAAAAAAGATAAATTTTATTTTTAGCTTTATGATCAGAATAAAGCCTTATCTTTCCAATTGGATTTACAATCAGCGTTGCTGATTCAAAATTATCTTGTTGCAAAGAATTTATAGGATGAATCTGAAAAGTCCTTCACACATACTGAGATGTATAATAAGAGTTTATCTAAAGACAAATGAATGTGCATGTACATATTATTTCCCATTGTTGTACAGGGCTGAATTGCTCGACTTCTGTTGTTAGCAGATGCACTTCTTTGAAAGGTCGAGCAATTCGATCCTATATGGCAATGAGAAGCCATAGGTATCATAACATCAAATGATACCTGTTACACAACAAATGGCTAACGTGTTCCAGTGGCATAGTCAATAACTCGTTAGAGTTTGAAGCTATAGGTACTAGGTCCGAATTCTAGCGGGGATAACGCCCACTGAGATGCAGTTACATCCAGACGACGATCACTAAATAGGTCGAAACGCGCTTCCTGGTCTCATCTGATATTCATCAACATGAATAGAATACCCATGTACATATTTTATGAAGCCATACTCTTTTGTAACCTGGTCTTATGTATTTCTGAAATGTTTTGTTTAGAATTATTCATTTAACTAGGTAGAAGGCAAACGATGCCTTATTCCTTTTCACAGTAATAACCAGAACGAACCACTAAAAAGAGTGAATGATGGGTAACCAGTTCATCATGACCATCTTAAGATTTTGCTACCCGGTTGAGAGTAACCTAAATAGGGATAGACCAGTTTGTACTAATTCGTGGTGTTCTTGAACAAGAACAGCTGGATTGCTTAGTTGAGGCAGTTATCGCAAACTGCTTCTACTTATCCATCTGTTCAACTGTTATAACTTCTTGCTTCATGATACTGATATCGAAAACAGAATTTTGTGATCTACTTCAGATGGTTTCTGAGAAACGTTCTTTTGATATCATAGAGGTTTGAAGAATTACTCAGTTGTCAAAGATACCAGTGTCAATTTCAAAATCTGAAAGTAACTTACAAATTCATCCTTCATTATAACAACCGACACATATTAGTTAGAATACTGTTAGTTACAATGAAGAGGATCAATGCCTTTGTAAAACATGTGCATGATTTTACAACAAACAACTTGAATATACCAAAGTAGTCAAGTTGGTAAGAACAATAAGTACTTTCAAACTAACTGGATAAATGACATTCCTTAGCTTATCAGCAAGCTGTCATCTGTGATGCTATCTCATAAAAGGTAAATTTGCTCCCGATCATTATGATGTGATCTTTCGTTATTCTACCTGCGCTTTAAAAATTAACTTCTTCTACTGAACCAAACCACTTCATTTATACAGAAGAATGAATATCTCATTGTAAAATATAATAATGGTGGTCAAATTTTAAGTTATTTTATGGATACCTCTGCTTGTTAACTTATTTTTGCTGTCTCATGATTAATGCATATTTTGACGTTGGTGTGGATTTTTTTAAATTACTTAGGTATTATTTCACATGAACTGACATCAATTGGAGAACCATTGAAAACCTGGGAGGACTGGATAGTTGTTTCGTCCTAGTATGGGACTCCTAATCAGTACGCACTCACTACTCTGTCAGAGATCAAGCTCAAGTCCGTGAAAAAATAGCGATTAACCTCAAAATACGATACTGTCTAGTATTCATTAGTGACGTGTTTCGAGATGGATATGTCGAAGTTCTAATGAGAAGTCTTGACCTGTGTGGTCAACCAGTCGGAAGCGTAGTCGATGCCAACTGCTGACCTTGAGTGATAGTTGCGCTATATTGCGAATTTGCAGAATCTGAAAACTGGGGACCACTGAACTCCTTCCTAGTAACCGGCTGTTGAGTAACGCGTTCGCCATAAAGTCTGAAGGTCCTGAGTTAGATCCCTAATCTGGTCGTACTGCTGACGAGTCACATAACAGGGTGAAACAGGTGTTCATCGATCTCAGTTTTTCAGTGGTTCTCCAAATGATGTGAATCCATGCTGAATATCACCTTGATAATACATATTTTCAAGGAGTTTCACTTTGTTTTTGATCAACTTCATGAGAATGATTTCGGATAAGCTGTATATAAATGCAGATTTTTCAGGCTTGTTCTGAAGCATCAAAAAGCATTTCAGTAAAATAGCATGAATGAATCTGAGTTTATGTATGATGAATAAACTACAGTAACTGTTGTCAAGTCACTGAAAATAAATACTAGTCTCAGCATCTCAACCCATTAATATTCTCAAACTGAATTACAAGTTTTTATCAATTTTCTCCTATTGAAATGGCGTCCACAATAATCTGTAGTTTATTTTCAGTCAAATTGACAAGCGTTTCCTTTTTAATCAGAAAATACAGGTTACCGGGTAAGTTTTAATGAATTGTTGCTACTTATTCGTTGGATCAACTTGTGGTTTGATTCATTCCACCACCAAAACGAGTATCAGGTGGGAATTACTTTTGTATTATTACCTTATTACAAACTTTCTCAAATGATGGCAAATCAGGAAGGCTTTGTTAAAGTATTGTTAAAAGAAATTAACTTCATAATCACTTTAGTCTGTATACTTAGTGTAGGCTTTTTAGCGAAAAGCAAAAAATATGGTAAACTTGAAGTCATGATTAGATCAAATTTCATCTAATACATTTTGTAATACTATATGAAAATAAGGTGCTTGATTGTAGAAAACTGAACTGATGAAGTAGTACTTTTGAACTCACTTCATATATTTCAGTGTTCGCTGTAGAAGAGAAAACATGGTCTGCGTTATTTCCAGACTATCAATACATTTAGTTTTTTTAACCGCTAATTACCTAGACCTTTCTTAGCCAAGCGTTCCAGATCTCAGGAGGATGACATACGCTGATGTTATCTCTCATGAAAGTTCAGATCGGATAATCTTCTCTTGAATACTTAGAAATTAAAAAGTTGAGGCAACAGGTGGTCAGAGTTACAATAAATCGCAGTTAGCTATTGGTTTCTAACCAAATGACCATATAGACATTAAGTTAATGTAAGTGGTGGAGAATATTTTTAGCTCAGATGGATGGCTTTTGTTGTATTGTGTTCTCTGAGCTGGGTTGTATAATCGTGGAGCTTTCATAACCTTTCTAGACGACATCAAAAAGCACAAAGAATATCATAGAAGCTTGGCATTCAGGTAAGTCAGTCAGCAATCAATAGATTCATATGTATAGACCCAATCTATCAACCAATCAGAAGAATGACAAAGGATAGAAAGGTCAGAGGTTAAACAGAGGAACAGCCAACAGGAAAGTCTATACAGTCAATGACACAACAATCAAAGGAAACAAATAATCACAGACCACATCTTTGGAGCAAGCTACTAAATGACTCACGGAGAAATATTGACAGGTCATTTCATACTGAAGTTATTGCTGATGATGTCATCTAGCAAGATGATGAGAGCTTCACGATTAAACAACTAGGCTCAGAGAACACAATACAACCAAGTTTACGTAAGTTTCAACTAATTATTACAGTATAAAGTTATGAATGGTAAGTGATAATTTCAGTCAGGAAACAGGTGAACGTATTATATGCTTCAAAGTACAAAATATTTCAACATAAAATATAAAAGTAACCCACCATTTTCCTAGACAGTTCTCCGAATAATCTGTCAATATGTCTGGCACGATTAGAAAGATTACTCATTTCACTGCTGTTGGATTTCCAACTATTGATTTGAGGATCTTTTCTTGATAATTCCACTTCTCTGGTTCCTACGCCTCTATTTATTTGTATGTCTTCTCTCGAGATGTTCATGGAACTATCATATTTACCACTGTTACGACAATTCATTTCTGAATTGTAGCCCTTCTCACCATTTATAAGATAATTCATTTTAATTGTGGCAGACGAAGATTTATTTCCAAATGAAAATTGTCTATTAAGGAATTCATTATCCCTTTGTTTAAGTGAATCATCTGAATTGACAATTGAAGCTAATGTAATCCGTGAATTATTTGAATCTGTATCATCATTTTCAGACATCTTGTTTCTTCTTAACCCATTATGATCATGAATATTTTCCGATTTTGAAAATAATGAAGGAAACATTGGTAAACGATATGAATGCATCATTGTTGTAGTATCTATTGAAGTCTTTGTAGAACTGTTGAATTTAGAGGTTATATTTACTCGATTTTCATAAAGTGGACGATTTTTGTTTCTTTAAAAATAGAAAAAACATTAGTTTATAGGCAGATCTTATGCTTTGAGTGTTAAAGAATAACTGATAATCAGACCAAGATCATGCACTGTTCCACGGATGTTATTCCTCTTTATAGATTGCATGACTATAACATTACAAAATATCATTAAGACAGACAATGTGCACCAGGTAGCACATAGTAAGAGTTATGTACCATGTTATCTGATAAGTGCAGACTCTTAATAAGTGCAAGGATCCACCAGAAAAACGTTGCCTTCATCTATCAAAACAGTATTCTTGGACTGCTAACTTGAGTTCTTGTGAGCTATGATTCTCTTACCGTATTTACTCAAGTTACGATAAATTTTGAACCAACCTTTCTCTCTTGATATGCAGACCGTCTCATGAGGATTTCAGATACTCTGATTCTTGCTTGAGAAAATAATAAAGTCACAATAAATTAAACCTATTTTCCTAATTTCCCCCATCATATTTTCACCCAGTAGATTATATCATACGTGATATCTTTGGTCAGTAATGTCACAAATCACAAATTACATTACATAATGTTGTACTTTCAGTTCAGCGGGAAAATAAACCAACAGACCGAAGGAATTGACATGGGTTAGCCAATATCCGCGACGATCGCCAAAGAACTCATGTGAAAATTAAAGTCAATAGTCACTTGAACAACCAAAGAGAAGATTTTGATTCATTACATCGATGACACTCATGTAATTATAAAAATAAGTAAACCGGAAAATACATTCAATCCCACCACCCAAACTTTTGAAGGCATTTGGTTCACAAAAGAAAACGAAAAAGAGGAAAATAACGAAAAACCGCTTTCCAAGACATCTCGATGTGTATAACATATAATAGAACCTTACAGATTCAAGTGTATAGGGAGATGACATACAGACCAATACTTTGACTAAAACTGATACAACCCAACTTCTCATTACAGCAGTTGTGCACAGGCACTATTCGCATGTATTAAGACCCATTACAGTACCCAACGACTGTAGAAGTATTAAGAAATCCACCTTTACATAGTGTTCAAAGTTGATGACTATCCAGTCAGTTCCGCTGAGAAATGCCTATCGGCTGAACACACTTCAGGGCAACTATTCCAACCCATTACATATATAAGTTAAGTGTGTATCAATGAAGACTTGCAAACTTCCAACAGACTATTTCACTAGCCCAATATCAGCGTTGCACACAAAGCATCCAAATGTCTGTTGAACCTCTAACGCAAACTCAAGGATCCATTACCAGAAGAGAACAGGACGAATATAGTCTACACAATTAGTTGTAAAACCTGTTAACACGACTCTAGTGGCTAGCCTAGTCATCCAGTAGCCCATTGAATTTATGACCATTAGCTAGCAGTCAAACGACGTGATACATTCCCACTGAAATCAGTACATGTAACTGAGCAAGATTAGAGTTTCTATTCAAACAACGGGGATATGCTACAAAAAATAGGCTCAAAAGCTGCGAATGAATCACCTTAAGTGTGGTACTGCAGATGAATAGCTATCCGCAGATACGTGAACACTGACCCAGTGTATGGTCTGCTGAGAAAGAATTAGAAAACTGGAATTTCATCAAACGCATCAGTAATCTAAAATTAGACCAGCACTGTTGGTCAAATAATGACAACAGTTATAAAGGTCAAACTTTCATTAAAGAGAGGGATGGATCACCTTTACTCAAAAGCTTGTGACATTCAAGGCTGACAAATATCCCTTATGAACATTAATGCGATTTGAAAATGCTTCACTTCTTCTGTCGTTTGAGTCGGTTAGCCTGGATAAATTCAACTCACACATCTAAATTGTTCTTGTCAAATGTATCTAACTGGCCAAACTGAGTAGACCAGAAATTCTCCTAAAGCTAAAGTTCAAGAACAGTACTTTTTCATAAAGAAAAGCTGGATTCACAAATTTCCAGCCTTAACAATATCCCAGTTATTTAGTTGTTTTGTTTTTACACCTGATAACTTACTGGTAAGAAGGTAAAAAAACTCCATAGTAAAACATCGTATTAGCGACTTAACTGAATTATTGTATCAATGCAGCACTTATATGTTGGGTTGATTGGTCCGTAAGTTACGCCTTATCACAATTTTGATGATTAACCAAAGAGAGATAGTCATGCGTAGAAATTCACCAACCACCTTAAAAGCATACGGAAAGCTCTTTAGTAATAGTTACTCAGAAAGAAAAAGTGAGATGGTTGTAAGTCTACACGTAAAAATTGATAGCTTTCTACACTTTAAGTGGATTTGATTTTCTGTGCTACATACATATACTTGGGTGATATTGATTATGATTACCAAGTCATAGATGAAAACATAATAATACGCCATCTAATTTACTGGATGCAGTGATTAGTTATAAGTAATTATCCGTTGGTAGTGCTACAGGCCGTTAGCGCATCTTCTTGATGGCTAATGGACGGATTGTAGGTGCGTGTGCATGAGACGCAGAATGACTGAAAAATACAACAGTAACAAAGTAATTTCATGAATGGCTAAGCATAGAAGAATACTAATTGATTTTTAAATGGCTTACAGTCCGAAGCAAATTCGTGATAGACAGGATTTGTCTTCTAACCAATCAGTTGTCCAGAACTCACTGAAGGATGATTACAGATTGGTTTTGTGATGGTTTTCTCAGAAGTTCTTATGGCAGTTCATAAGGCATTAACCTTTCTGTACTGCATACTGACGTAGATCATACGTACCATCCACTAGATCAAAGCCTAATGTCTGGATTGGAATTATTCCATTCATGAAATCTGAAAAAATCGATCGTATTCACTATTTTCTCGAAATTATACATCACTTATTTGTTAAAAGCTATCTAATTGAAACACTATTCAGTACCGGTCAATTTTCCGGCCATGATACGCTCATTATCTAAATCTATTCTAGTATTTGGAGGTATAGCTAAACGAAAACATAGGCAATACGGATTTTGGTTCAAGTAAATGTTGATCTACTTGTGAAACTCAATTGCTATTCTGTAAATGGTCTAAGGATCTAATTTTAAAATGACTATTATTGTAATATTCAATATTCTAACAAAGCTTGAACAACAAGTTCAGCAGAATACGATGATTTCTTTTTATCTCGTCACCTTCCCTTCAACTGCATATATATATATATATATATATATATATATATATACAGGGAGAGAGAAATAAATTCTTCATGATTTAATTATCAAGAAGATGATAGGCCATTGATGATCTAATGAAAGAAATGATACGGATTAAGGAGGTTTAAATGAAATAATTTGTGATTACTAAAATTGAAATCATCTTGTGTTTATATGGTCATCTTATCATCCTGCTACACGTAACCAATCAAAATGGGATAGAAGGCATTGCGTGGGTGTGTGTGACTAGATAATAATGTAAATAAAGAGTCAAAACTTTTTGCATGGGTTAATTATTACTGTTATTATTATTTGTCCCGTGGGTTCCTAGTGGAACATAAGGCTTCAGTAGCACATCTCCATTCCACTCCCTTTTCTGCAATCTTTTGAACCTGGCGCCACGGCTGCCCATGAGCTCTCATTTCTTCTTCACACGATCTCCTCCATATCTCCCTCAGCTCGGATGTCCAACTCGTCGCTTCGCATCTAGGTTCCACTCGAGTGCCTGGCGAGTGATGTCCCAAATGGTCTTCTCAGTGTATGCCCAATCCATCTCCACTTCCTTCTTGCATGGGTTAAGGTTAAGTCAGATAGGGTCAAGTAGTAAACTGGTGGAGATGAAATAGAAGTTGATTGTGAACTTGGTCTTAAAAGAGGACGAAAATACAGAATTTTGGAAGGGATGATACTGAACAACAAAACAAATCAGTGGCTACCATGGAATTTAGAGGGTAACAACTACCTCCTTTTGGATGTATAAGTTCAGTTTAATTCTTCTGGGGGCTATCATTTGAAATTGTTTCGAGATTCGGACGTCGTGTACTGTTTCTACTAGATATTAAGCAATGGAATATTCAGGGCATTTTAGCTCCTTTAAGTCCAATTTAGTTGTGATGTGTTCACGAAATCTAATCTCGGGCTTCATCTCTGTCCTTCCAATGTACCTGCTTTGACATGTGCATGTGAATTGGTAGATGCAATTCCGAGTCATATGAGGCGGAAACCTGTCGACTTTTGATTGTTGTAGTGAACACTTTGTTTTGTGTAAGAAAACTAATTTAGTTGCTCGAAAAGTGATTTTCAGCATAGTTCTTCCATTGACCCGGTTCATGAGTTCATTCCCTTTGAAAGTCGGATGGATGAACAAAGTTTTATTCTCAGGATCATCAAGTACACTTATTTCTGCTGTTCTAATTTTAACTTAGGGTAACCATTTTCTTTCAGATATCTCTCAATGAACTGAATTTCTTCAGTCAGTTTGTATGTTGAACAAAGTTCCTTAGCTCTTTGAAAAAGCGTTGTAACCATCCCTGTTCATAACTTATAGGACGGAAACTGTTGGAATGAAGATATTGTCCACTCCATGTTTCTTTTCCGTAGACAGATCTCTGACGCAATCCATCTATTCTCCGTCGAAGTCAAAGAACAATGTTAAAATAAAAGTGGGACAGGGCCTACAAAGCATGGTTGACTGTTCTTCATTTAAATAGACAGGATGTAATCGCCTTAAGATTTAATACTACTTAAATATGCTTATCACTTACATATACTGTCAAATCTGCATGTGATTTAGTTTGACAAAGGAAAGATGAAAAGATACGCTCTGCTTCTATACCTCCTGTACTCTCAGGTTCTAATCCATGTGTTTGAAGTCACGCATATTCAGTATAACGACTTCGTTACCAGTTAGACTGTCTAAACTAGTTTCAACTTTAGTAGACTGATTCCAAAGTATCCCGAAAGGTGAAAGAATCTGGAAGGGTAACCTATGTTTTAACGAAAATCAGGCCAGTAGTCTTCGGATTACTAACTGCGCACTATACTAACTGAGAAATGTGACTCAAGTGT